AATCCCAGCGAGGAGAAGTGAAAGCGTGGCGCAGAGCGGCCAACGGAACATGGTACGTGTCAGGGCATGCTTGCAGGGGAGACGTGTAGTGAGTCGCCGCGCAGAGGCAACAGTCGTGTCTCTTGGCCTTGCCCCCGCCGCTCGCCTCCTCTCGTGCTGCTCCTAACCCTTCCTTTTCATCCGCTTCTGTGTGCGTGTTTTCTCTCCGCATCCTTGTGTGTGCCTCACGGCCTCCGAGGTCGAGCGGAATGGCACGGAGTGGACGCGGAATGGTGCGGAGTGGGCGCGGAATGGCACGGAGTGGACGCGGAATGGCGCGGAGTGGGCGCGGAATGGCACGGAGTGGACGCGGAATGGCGCGGAGTGGGCGCGGAATGGCACGGAGTGGACGCGGAATGGCTCTGTGTGTGCGCGAATGGCGTGGAGTGGGCGCGGAATGGCGCGGAGTGGGCGCGGAATGGACGGGACTTGCGTTGCGGCCTCGCTTGAGAGACGTCCCGGCCCAGTGCAGCACGTGTGAAGTGAAGGCAGGGCGCAGGAGTGGGAGAGCGGCGGACGGAGCGTGGTACGTGCCAGGTGGTGCTTCTAGGGGGGCCGTGAAGTGAGTCGTAGGGCGTCGCCGCGCAGAGGCAAGAGTCGTGTCTGTTGCCGTTGCTTCCGCCACTCGCTTCCTGCTGCTTCTGACCATCACTTGTTGCACCGCCTCTGTGTGCGTGTGTGTCCCTCTCCCCGTGTGTGTGTGTGCCTCATGGCCTGCGAGGCAGACGGGAACGTCAGCGAGTGGACGGGGAATCGACACCACTGCCGTTGCTGGCACGCCCGAGGGACAACCATCCTGCGAGGAGAAAGGGGAGAAAGGAGAGCAACCTGCCTGGAGCAGCACGCCTGAAGTGCAGGAGTGGTACGTGCCAGGGGGTGCTTGCAGAGGGGCCGTGAAGTGTCGCCGCGCAGAGGCAAGTGTCATGTCTGTTGCCCTTGCCTCCAACACTCGCCTCCTCTCCTGCTGCTCCTAACCCTTCCTTGTTGTGCCGCTTCTGTGTTTGTCTCTCTCTCCCCATGCGTGTGTCTCTCTCTCCCCATGCGTGTGTTTCTCTCTCCCCATGCGTGTGTCTCTCTCTCCCCATGCGTGTGTCTCTCTCTCCCCATGCGTGTGTCTCTCTCTCCCCATGCGTGTGTGTGCCTCATGTCCTATGAGACGGACGGGGAGGCAGCGAGTGGGCGAGTGGGCAGCGAGTGACTGCAGGATGATGGCGAGCACTCAAGAGGTTGTGAGTGGATCAGGTCAAGCAGTTCCCCGCTTCACTTCTCACCTTTTACCATCTTCCTTCTTTTCGTGTTCCTTCTCTCTTGTCTACCTTTTTTCCACGGTGCCATGAGTCTTTGCAGCAATGCTGTGAGATGATCATGCCACTCGTCTCAGCTCCCTAACCCCTCCTCTCCTGTCCTCTCCTCCTCTCTGCAGCGACCGGTTCTTGCGACGGAGCAGCTGGGAGCACGGGCAGTGGCAGGGAGCTGCTTGGAGCCAAGGCTTGGCGCAGCAGCAACTGAGCAGCCTGGAGTAGCACGCTAGCAGCCAAGGCGTGGTGCAGGCAGAGCGGCAGGCTGGCAGACGGGCCAGGGTATGTGCCAGGGGGTGCTTGCGGGGGGGGGGGGGGCGTGAAGTGATTCGTAGGGCGTGGCCGCGCACAGGCAGCAGAAAGGAGGGGTGAGTGCAGCTTATCCTATCGCAACCAAGTTCCCTTGATTTGTTGGTTGTTCAGTGCCGCCCGTGCTCTTGTCAGCGTGTCTCTGAGCTTACCCGTCTCCCTTCACTCTTGTCTATGTGGCTCGTTCTCTTGCCTCACTCTATGCAGCTAACCTGATCTTCTCGCCTCGCTCCCCCCTTCATGGCCAGGATGATCGCCAGGCCAGCACACAAGGATCTGTGAGTCCATCACACCAACCAGTCCACCTGGAGCACCACGCCTGAGGTGAAGGCGTGGCGCAGGAGTGGGAGAGCAGCGAAGGGAGCATGGTAGGTGCCAGGGGGTGCTTGCAGGGGCGGAGTGAAGAGAGTCGTAGGGCGTCGCCGCGCAGAGGCAAGAGTCGTTTCTGTTGCTTGCGGGTCGATCACTTGCCACCTGCTGCTTCTAACCCTCCTTTCTTGCGCTGCTTCTGTGTGTGTCTCTCTTTCCCCACCTGTGTGTGTGTGTCTCTCCCCGTGTTTGTGTCTCTCTCTTCCCCCGTGTGTGGCTGTCTCTCTCCCCCCGTGTGTGTGTGTGCCTCGTGGTCTGCGAGACGGAGAGCAATGGCAGCACGTGGACGCATGAAGTGAAGGTGTGGCGCAAAATTGGGAGAGCAGCGGACGGAGTGTGGTACGTGCCAGGGGGTGCTTGCAGGGGGGCTGTGATGTGAAGAGAGTCGTAGGGCGTCGCCGTGCAGAGGCAAGAGTCGTGTCTCTTGCCCTTGCCTCCATCTCTCGTCTCCTCTCCTGCTGCTTCTAACCCGCATTGTCGTGCCGCTTCTGTGGTGTCTCTCTCCCCACGTGTGTGTGTGTGTGTGCCTCATGGCCTCGAGGGACATTGGCTGCAGCATTGGAGGGGGCAGTGGCGGCAGCAACGGTGGAATGATTGGCAAGCACACAAGGGGTTGTGAGTGGAGCAGATTGAGTCGTATACCATTCTCATTCTCATGCATTCCTTTCTGCATTTCTGTGCTGTCTACCATCTTTCCACTATCCGCACTGTGTCTTTGCTGCTGTGTTACTAGATGTTCATGCCATTCTTCTCAACTCTCAATCCCCTACTCTCCTGCCCTCTCCTTCACTCTGCTCGCCTCTCTTTCATCACCAGAAGTACAGCACATCACCTACAGTCCAGCACCAGCAGTATGGGCAGCAGCGGTGGCAGCAGCAGTAGCAGTGGCAGCAGTGCTTGCAGCATCAAGGGCTGCTGCAGTGGTTGCAGCTGCAGCACTGGAGGGGTAATTACATCTTAACCTAATGCTTACGAGTTCCCCCCAAGTGCTGGTTGTTTTATATTCCTAGTGTTGTTGTCCCAGCTTTGATGCCTTACTTGTCTCCCTTCATGCTTCTCGTGATGTTGCTCCCCCTCCTCCTTTTCTGTGTCTTGTTATGTTGCTTCCCCTCCTCCTTTTCTGTGTCTCATCTCCTTCAATATGTTGCCCCTCTCCATGTCCCGTTGCTGTCTATGGCAACAGCTGCCAGGGAAGCAGTGGCAGCAACTGCAGTGCAGCGAATTCCACATGGTAGGTGTGATGGGCGATTCTGCAGACGGGAGTTGCTGGCCTTGCTAGCGTACATTTTGCTCTTGGTAATGCTGAGGGGAGTTGCCGGCAATCTCACATGAACAAAGCACACAACTTTCTTGTGTCTTTTGATCGGTTTCACTTTCATGGTGCTCTGCACTTTTACATCTCGTAAGCGTCTCTCTCTTCTCTTTCCTCCCCTTTCTTGCATGCCTCGTTGCTGCCCCATGAGCAGCCCATACCGTAAGTGGCTCTTCTATGGTGAAGTGCAGGGCGAGGCAGAGGACATATGGGGTGGGGTACCCAGTGAGGTGCAAGGGTGCTGAATCTCCTTGGGCAACAGCAGTTCCAAAACACCGTATGAGTTTGTCATTATAGTAATATGGTATTACAAAACATGAAGTCTCAACTCAGACCATGCTCCATCATACTGCCTGAGTGGCATCGCGCATGCTTACAGCTAGTCAAAATCACGACCTTCAACAAATGATGCTACGAAAGACAACTGAACTGGGAACGAACCATGCTATGGCGACAAATGAGGTGGAACCTGCAGTGACACAAGAATGGAGGTACAGTACTACCGTACTAACGTGTGTTGGTTGGTTGTACGGACGCTGGTGCAAGTGCATTGATGTGAGGGTGCCTCTGTGTGCAACCGCGTGTGCATGTGCAGCGTAAGTGCGTGGGCGAGTGTGTCCATGTGCATGTGTACTGTATGCATGCGAATCCATGCAGTGGTTGGATGGAAGATGAATGGGGGATAGATGGAGGGGCGGGCGGGAGGGGAGGCTGCATGCAGTACAAGATACAGCCCATTGCTGTGGAGGGGTACAGGTGCAGGTCTGCATAAAGACTGCAACAAGGGGTGTTTTGTGCAGTGTGCAAATCAGGTGATCCGTGCTGCTGCGTGCATGAGAGTGATGGCCTGTGCTTCTGGTGCATGAATGGGGGAGCTTGGCTTGAATGAATTGGAAGATGTGTGATTGTGTAGACTTGGCATGAGGTTGTGCAGACATGTGGAGAGGAAGGGAGAATGTTTGCTGGAGTAATTGAGAAGGGATGGGTGGATTGTGTATGTGTGTCAATGAATGTGCATAACTGCATGAGAAAAGAGACAGGAAGAAGCGAGTACGAGACAGAGAGAGCAAGAGAGGGTGAGAGGGTGAGAGAGAGGGAGAGAGCGAGCACGAGGGAGAGGAGTCATGAGAGTGACGGCTGAAATCCCATGGCTCTCAGGCGGGCAGGCAATAGCTGGGAGCAGGTGGCAGCAGCAGCACCTGCACCCACCCTTCTTAGCATCTGTGACAGTCCTGATCCATCCCCTCATGGCTACCTGCTTCACTAATCCCCCTCTAAACCCACTGTTGAAGCAAGGTGACTGCGTGCCACAGTGCCTCGTGCACAGCTGCTTGATTGCTCGTACAGTCCCAACGTGCGCGTGGGCATGAGGAGAAGCATGGGCAAGACCCAGCAGAGAGACCCACCCACTCTCACCAACGATTTCGGATGTCCCAAAAGTACTAGTCCTGTAGCAAACACTGCTGCATCACCGTGGGTTCAACAGCCCCCATCACCACCTCCAGTGTCACCAGCTCTGTTGTTGTCAACATCGCCACTTCTTACTGGCGGCACCATCACCATCATCACCATCACCACCATCACCATCATCACCATCATCACCATCACAACCATTGCCCCGCAGTGAAAACACAGTCATCGTTATCACCTCCCCCCCTTCTTGCCTCGTGCCCTTAACTCCTTGCGGCAGACGCACGTGCCTGAGAGCCACCAGCACCAGCAGCAGCAGCAATACCAGCACTCCCACTGCCACCACCAACCCCATCAGCAGCTGCCACAACACGTTTTCCACTGCCACCACTCGTACCACCAGACAAAGAAACCCCACCAGCAACAGGTGCTTCAGTAGCAGCACCAGCAGTAGCAACAGCACGAGCAGTAGGCGAGTTGGAGGGAGCACCTGCATCAGCAGCAGGCCCACCATTTGCTGCTGCGCTAGCACTGGCACTTTCACTTGCTCTGGCACCTGCATAAGAATCCACTGCTGCACTGCCAGGAGCAGCAGCAGCAGCAGCAGGTGTCCCATCCACCGTCCCTTCTCCCCCTACATCCTCCCCTTTGTTGCGTCCAGCTACAACAGCATCTAACTGCGCTTCCGTACCCAACAATACCTGGCTGCGGCAGCTGCTGTCGTTGGTACCATTCATCCCATCTCCCTCGCCGCTGACACTGCTGCTGACAGCGGGTAACTGTCCGTTGCAGTTCCCAATACTGGTGGAGGTGCTGATGGTGACGTCGCTCGTGTCAGTGTTGTTGGCAGGGGAAGTCACAGGAGGGGAGAGAGGGTGCTTGAGCTGGGACCAAAGGCGGTCCAGGAACGCAGTGGGGGCAGAGGGTGGCGCTGGGGAGGGCGAGATGCTGTGCTGTAAGATGGTGGTCTCCGGGGATGAAACGGCTGCATCCCATCCTGTGAGACAGTGGGGAGGAAGGGGGCAGATACAGTAAATGGCATTAGAGAAAGTAGCGTGGAAGAGAAAGTAGCGTGGAAGAGAAAGTAGCTGAGTAGTGATTGGAGGCAAATACAGAGAGCAGCTTCAACATGGAAGAAAAGCGAGAAGACAAGAACCCCAGACGAGGATGGAACCACATAAAGACGAGACAGAACGCAAATTATGGAGCGGGGAAACAGGCTGGGAGGAAGGGTAGATGATTCATCAAGGTCAGGCGTAGGGAGGAGTGGACAACAGAAGTGGAAAAGAGAAAATCAAGTCGGGGAGGGAGAGGGCTAGAGGGGCGTACGGTTCTTCATGAGGCGCAGGGCATGCAGCAGAGCAGCCCTCAGACGTGCATCGGGATCAGATTGTGGGGCGTCAACCTGCTGTGACACCTCTGCTTGCTGCTGCTCCTGTTGCTGCTGCTCGTGACTCATAGCCTGCTGTGCTGCTTGTGTGCGCTGCTCATGTGCATGCTTCTCACTATGGGGACTGGAACCTGCACGCTGCACTGCTGCTGCAGCAGCAGAAGAAACAGAAGGGATGGTGGCAGCGTTGGTGTTGACGGGATGGGAGGTGGAAGGGGGAGCGGCGGAAGGAGGAGCGTTGGCAGGAGTGCTTTTCCCTACCAGGGGAACCACCATGCTTCCTATCACAACCACTCTTGCTTTGGCGCTAGACGCAACATCGGCCACAGTAGCAGCACTGTTGGCAGCAGCAGTAGCAGCAGAGGTGGTGGCAGGAGGATCGAGCTGCAGCAGCTGTCTGAGAGATCCTTCTACAGCCGTTTTCCTGCTCGCCTCGGTTGCTGCTGCTGTTGCTACTGCAACTGATCCCTCTGGTGCGACTGCTACTGCTACTGGTGCGGCTGCTACTGCCACTGGTGCTGCTGCTACTGGTGTAACTGGTGCTACTGCTACTGGTGCTGCTGCTAGTGCTACTGGTGCTGCATCTACTGCTACTGGTGCTACTGGTGCTGCTGCTACTGGTGTAACTGGTGCTTCAGGTGCCGCTACTGCTGTTGTAACAAGTGATGCTACTGGTGCTGCCACTACTGTTGTTACACCTGGTACTGCTGCTGCTGCCACTGCTGCTGATTCTGCAATTGCTACTGCTGCTGCCACTGGTGCAGCTGCCACTACTGCTCTTCCCCCCGAGCCCCTCAAACCTTCCACAGCTTCAGCAGCACTAGCCTCAGCCACTACACCACCAGCCCTATTCCCAGACCCAACCTGGGACCCACCCTGCTGCACATGCTTCCCAGATTTCGCATCTCTCTCCTTTCCACTGCCCGAGCCCCCTCTTTCCCTTCTCCCATCGCCTTGCCCCCGCCCTGACTGTCCTGACTCAGTCCTGGACGCAGGAGCAGGGGCAGGGGCAAGGGCAGAGGCAGGAGCAGGGGCAGAGGCAGGAGCAGGGGTAGGAGCCGAAATGCCCCTGGACACACAGCTCTGCTGGGTCTCTCCCCCACTTACCTCCGCCTCCCTCCCCCGCAGCACCCCTCTAGCAGCAGGGGCGTTCTCAAGAACAGCAGCAGCACTGCCAGCAGCCGCGCTTGTGTCTAGCGCCATCCCAACATAAGGGCCCACAGCTTCCCTCTTCCCACTCCGCTGCTGCCGCCCCCTGCTCTGCTCCCCCCGCTCGCCGCCCCCTCCTTGCCCCCCCTTGCCACGACCCCTCCTGCCTCCCGCACTCCCCGTCCTTGCAGCAGCTGAACCTGAGCCTGAGCCCGCACCCGTGCCTGTCCCTCCTCCTGCTGCACCCGTCCCTGCAGGTGCCCCCCTGGCGTTTGACAAATCAAGATTACTGCTACCTGGGCCCGTGGGTCCATCCGTGGGTCCACCACCAGCGGAGGCGGAGCTTCCTTCTGAACGGTCCAACGTGGCACGAGCAGCAGCGCGAGCAGCAGCACGAGTCCCTGCCATGTCTACACTCCCTGCGTCTGCTCCCTCTCTCCTTGCCCCCACTGTGTGCTGCTCACGCTCCTTGCTTTTCACGCCCACTGAACTGTCTGTGGCGGACATGGGTGCTGGGTGCACCCTAGCGCCCTTGGGAGAATCGAGAGACTCGGATGATAGCCCATCAGAACTGCTGTCGCCCCCTGCTTGCTGTTGCTGCTGCTGCTGCTGCCTCTGCTGCTGCTGCTGCTGTCGCACTTGCTGCTGCAGTTGCTGGGGCTCTTTCTTTGCCTCGTCTTCCTCCTCCTCTCCCTCCTCTTCCTCTCTCCCCTCCTCTTCCCCGACCTCTTCCTCCTCCTCTTCCTCTTCCTCGTCCTCCTCCTCCTCTTCTTCTTCCCTTTCCTCCTCATCCTCCTCCATCTCCTCCTCCTCCGCTTCTTCCTCTTCTTCCTCCTCCTCTTCCTCCTCTTTCTCCGAGTCCTCACCTTTACTCCAGGTGCCAACACTGCCCGTCAACCCCACACCACGGTCACCTCTGGAACCCTGCTGCCCCGCTTTGTCTGCCGCCTTGCCTCCTCCCTTCTGCCTCTGCCGTTTCTTCCGTCTGCGCTGCTGCAGGAGAGCCCGCCTGCCAGAGTGTATGGGGAAAGAAGGGGACAGAAGCAGAAGCGCAGGACCGTCAATACGTGAAGCCAAAGCCGACTGATGCCTGTTACCCCCAAATGCAGACGCACACACACGGCGTCGAGCTGTGCCGTACCATAGACACCACAAGTGTTTGCCGAGGACGAGAACAAACGAACGGAGGGAGAATGGGGGGGGGGGATGATGAGGGAATTAACAAAGGTAAGGGGGGGGGGGGGGGGGATGGGAGAGGAGAGGCAGAGGAGAAGAGCAACCCGAACTAGCATGAGGGAGAGTTACTAGAGACGGAGACCACATGACTGAGTGGACGGGCAAGAGCAGGCGAGGCAGGGCCTTACTCGTGCATGGCAGCTGCTTCCTCCTCCACCAGCAGGTGCTGCTTTTGAGAATTCTCAAAAGAGAATAATCAAAAGCGACCACAGGACTGACGGACGGGCAAGAGCAGGCGAGGGAGGGGCTTACTTGTGCATGGCAGCTGCTTCCTCCTCCACCAGCAGGTGCTGCTGCTTGAGTGCTGCTGCCTCTCGCGCTGCCATGTATGCATCCACCTGGGGAGCGCGCGGGGGAAAGGGAATTTGATGTGAAGGGTTTATCGGTCGTGAACGTGGAAGGGCGTAGCAGCAGAGGAACTTCTCCTCTGCTGCATGGGACCATTTGCTGCTGAATCAAGGGTTTAAGCATCAGAGGCTTAAGAATAGATTTCATTGCTAAAAGAAAGAACTCGAGAAGGGGAGCTGGCACGAAGGAAGATAAGAGGGTGGAAAGAAGCGGGACCCGGAGAGACGGGGTAAGCGAGAACGGTGTGGGAAAAAGCAGGGAACGCATGCAGAAGAAAATGCTTCACAGCATGTCACCAGGCATACACACTCACCAGCTTCTGTTCAAGCAGAAACGCAAGCGCAGCCACCAAGTCCTTATCATGCAGGCGCATCACTCTGATCCTCCCGCTGCTGCCACCGCCCGCGCCACCAACCCCACCACCACCACCGCCACCACTGCTGCTGCTGGGCGTGGCAGTGGGCTGGAAGACAAAGCGGTGCACGGCAGGGGACGTGCCCCCGTGCAGGAACGTGCTCTCACTGGCCGCATCCAGCATGGCGAAGAGATCCTCCTCTGATAACAGCTGCTTGTTCAACACCACCGCCTGGCGGGGTGGGGAAAGAGGGGGAGAAGAGTAAGTGGGGGGGAGGAGGAGGGGAAGCGGAGAGGGGAAACAGGGGGTGAGTGAGAGGGTGATGGGATGGAAAAAGCACATGGGTGTATGACACACAGCACGTGAGAACGCCACGCAAGAATTTAGCTTCCAACTGCAGCATAGGCGCTCTGACTAGTTCTGGAATAATAAATAATGGTATGCATGTGTGGGTAGAGAGAGAAGGAGAGAGACGTACGACGAGGTCTGGGCCGAGCTTGAGGTAGGGTGGGAGTGGTGGTGCGATGGGCGAGACAAAGGGAAAGCGATGGTTGTCCACCAGAGAGGACAGACGGTCCACCAGTTGAATACCCTGTGTGCCGTGTACAACAGACCGGGCACAAGAAGACAGAGGGCAAAAGAAAACCCAGAGGGAGGGGGGTTTGAAGAGGGGAGAAAAAGGAGAATCGTAAGGAAGGTACGAGGGCAGACACTGCAGGAAAAGGTGAGAGCAGTTTAAGAGGAACGGCAGGGTAGCAGGGGATAACATGAGCGAGCATAGGGAGAGCATGGAAGGGAATAAGCATATGGGGTGAAAAAGAGGGTAGCAGCAGAGACGCACCTCCACAGAAAGGGCCTGCAGTGATATGTGGTCAAGAACTGCTGGCATTCCCAGCTGTACGAGCAACGACAGTGCACAGGAGAGAAGAAACAAGCTGACATGAGAACCAGGTGTGGACGATGGGATGCAAGAGGAACAACGGACCGGGCACTCAAAGCGAATTGGAGAGGGTTGAGTGGACTGGAGAGTTGAGTGGGACTGCCGTTACCTTGTTCAAGAAGAGAGCAAGGTCTCCTCGGATGCCCCTCAGGTCAACCTGGAGACACAACAGACGGTGCCATGTAACAGTAAGAAATAAGAAAAAGAGAACAAACAAGAAGCAGAAAACACTGAGCGCTTTCAAAAGTACACACCCTCAACCGACAACACGCACCTTGTCGGTGCGCAGCATCTTGCGGTGCACGCGAATGTGGCGGCGGTGGTTGAGCGGCGAGAAGAAGCGCAGGCTGCACTTGTCACACGCGTGCGTTGCTGTCCCCAGATGGGGCGGTGGGGGGAAGTGCAGACCCGACCGAGCTTGCAGGTTAAGCGGCCAGCCTGACAGAACCACGGGAGCCGAGAGATGGAGGTAGAACAGTTGTTTGGCAGTGAACAGCCGTCGCGTCAACAACGACAAGAGAGCCAGTGGGAAGGAAAATAAGTACATATTTATAAAATCCGCAAACACGAAGGAGCAGCTTCAAGAGGATGGCGGGGGTTAAAATAAGGGCGACAACAGAGGGGTCTGTTGCATGAGACAACGAAGGAGGGAGACGTGGGGGCCAGGATGACGAGAAAAGAGCGGTATCACTCACTGGTCTTGGCAGCAGCAGCAGCTTGAAGAGCAACAACTGCTGCGCGTGGGATCTGCCTGTCCACACGTCGATTATACACCCCAGCTGCTGACGCCGACGCCGAGGCCGACTGGCCAATAGCCGCATGCCCCGTGGGGTTGAGAGCAGAGGAGGAGGAGGCGGAAGAGGCGGAGGAGGGGGCATGGCGCACGAGGTCAGAGAGCGCCATGACTGAGTGCAGGTCCAGGTCGTCATATGCGCCCAGCTCCATCAGCTCATCCAGCCCTGATGCCCGTGCCGTTGCTGCTGCCACTGCTGATGCTGATGATAATGCTGATGACGCTGCTGCTCCTCGGGTTGCATATGACGGCGTGCTGGCGATGGTGGTGGTGGTGGTGGTGCTCGAGTAAGGGAGGTCGGTAGTGCTGGTGCTGGTGCTGCTGCTGGTGGTTGCTGGCGCGGGGATGGGGATGGGAAACGTTTTGCTAGTGCTTGGCCGCCCAGTTACCTTCATCCCACCGTTTGGTCTTAGATTAAGCGACGAGCCAGAGGAGGAGAATGTAGCATTGCCATAGGCAGACACAGGCCGAGCACCGCCGGCACCAGACACACACTCCACCACTGATTCCCCTACACCTTCACCCTCACCACCACTCCCACCACCACCACCACCACCACCACCACCACCACCACCTTGTGTTCCTGAGCTTTCCCGTTCAACCGGCCTATCCAACCCCTCTTTCTCTCCAGACCCCTGTGCCTCTGAAGATCCCTCCCTTTCCTCTAACGATCCAACTCTATCCGTAGCAGAAGCCACCTCCCGCGCCATCAGCTCCACATCGCCCCAGCGCTCCGCCAGCCGGGACTCCGCCAACGACCCTCCGCCACTTCCCCCCGCCCCTGTATCCGTCTTCTCATCCGCATTCCCCGCGCCAGACCCGCTCACTGCCGCCGACTGTTGCGGCTTCGCCGAGCTCTCCCCGTTGCTGAACGCCCACGAGTGCAGATCATCCTTGAATTCTGGATCCCCCGTCGCCCGCTCCTCGTATTTCCACGGCCGTCTTCTGCGCATCCCACCCTCTGTTCCCTCCCCTTCTCGCGCATCCGCACCTTCCCCATCTCCAACCCCAGTCCCCCGACCATCGCTACCAAGAAGATCACTCATATTCCCATTACCGCCTGACTGATCCAACTCCGGCACTCTTCTATCAGAGCCTTGACTAACAGCCGCCCTTACCCACCAGCCACCTGCTGCCGCTGCTGCTGCGGCTGATGCTCTCTCGCGCACCCCGCTCGTGGGACCATTGGGGCTCAGGAGCGGCACGCGTGACTCCGCTTCCGCGTCCCACCGACTGCCGTCGTCCTCGCGAAGAACGACCATCTCTTGACCTTCCTCGGCTCCCTCCCCCGAACCCCTAAACCTCAAGGTCTCCCTAATGTTTTCCCTGCTGCAGCTATCCTCGCTGGCCGCTGCGATCTCTTCCCGCCTATCGGTGTCTTGCGCGCAGGGTGCGGAGGGAGCGGAGGGTGCGGCGGGTGCGGATGCTGCTGTTGCCCAGCTATCGTCGTCGCCTTCCTCCTCCCACCACCTGCGGTTCCACTCGTCTGATGTACCGCCCATGACACTGTATGATTACCCTTCGCCCCGGATCCGACCAGTGCTATTAGATTCGGACCTAATCACTGGGTTGGCCTGAAGTATGCACAAAGGGGTGAAGCAAAAACAGTCAATACGCAGACTCTGTGACACTTGCATAAAAATAGGAGGCAACGCAATCGAGTTACGTATACTGAATCCCTGACAAGGGGTCAAAGAGGCTCGTAAAGATTACAAACTCGTACGTGACGCTTACACGCAAGGATCAGGAGAACAAAATCACGATAGTAAAAAAGAATACTTCATGGGGTTTTGTGTGGAGATACAAGCGTTGGGCAAATGACTTGGTCAGAAGGCCAGATTCTCCACGAGTTGAAGGATTTGATGGTAGTAGCCTGATTGTCAAGCCTTTCAACTGCTGACAACTATGGTCGAACTATGGTCAACGGCCATCACAACTTTTCACGGGAACGGGAAAGTTACGCGCGCGGAAGGATTTGAGTACTCGAAACTTACCAAGAACAAGACGTGATGGCGATCGGTCGGGAAGCGTCTGTATTCTCCATAGTGATAACCGCGCTTCGCATAGTGACCAGATCCAGGATGACAGAGGGACAATAACTAGAAGACGGAACCGAATCTTCGGAATAGGTACCTAGCCTGCTACAGTTACTGAAGGTTGCGTCTCAACACTTCAATCACGATAAGTAAGGAAAAGGCCTACCCAGATCTAACCACCCAGTACTTCAATACGCAACCTCATCAACCCAGCAACCGATAACCAACACAAGAAAGTAAAAGTTAACGTACTTAATCCCCTAAAATCTGGCTGGAACCTGGAAACGAGGGGCGGGTGCGTCCTAAATCTGGCTTGACCAAACCAGCCAGCAAAACTAAAACGTGGTCGCAGCAAAAATCGATGGGCCTGGAGAGAATCCCAAGAAGTGACATAAATGGGTGAATGAAGGGAAGGATGGATGGATGGTGGTGGTGATCACCTCCGTGAGATGGCTACTCCTGAAACCTGACTTGATCGTACGGAAATGCAACACAGATGCTGTAGAACGCACAGTATCGTATTTGACCGCGTGAACGTGAACTTAAGCGACAGCGGCTATGGAGCGACCAAGTACACGTACATACAGGTTCCTCTTGTGTACTGTACACTACTGTGTTTCCGAATGTGCTGGTCCGCCTGACCAACCTCGTACAAGAATGGGGAATGAACGGGGGCTGGATTGGAGGAGCCCGGGACACCTGGCCTCGGGAATGTCACCAAGCTGAGTGAAATCTTCGAGACACTTCCTCCCGCTATAGGAACAGCCTCGAGCGTACATGCGGACCCTCCACCACCGAAATCCAGGAAAAGAGAACCTGCGTTTGTGGCAACTTCGCTACAATGTGAAAGATCCTTCACACTTCCAGACACCTTCTTTTATCAGCTCAAACTCATAAGACTTTTATCTGTCTTTTTTACAGTCCCAGGTAACTGCTTCATTGATTCGCATCCTCTTCCAGACGATTTTTTTTGTCGAGGAAACTGGTGACGAGTATCGCCGTTTAGCGTCACATTCATGCATGTCTCACCACCACACTTCACCTCATTGTGCCACCTCATACCTCTCGTTTCATTTCACTTTGTTTTCAGCTTCTCTCCCTCTCCCATCGTTCATTGTGCAACTGCGGTGTGCGCTGCACTCAAACCAAAGCACACACGCCACGTGGAGCTGTCTTGGCAGCCATATCCACTTCCCTCGCTCCGAAGCCAAGAAGAGAGATCCTTCGCCATGGCGGTCGCATCGCATTCGATCTCGCATATAGCTGGCCTAAGCGTGCCGCCGTCAGTGCAATCCAAGCAACCACGACATCCAGTGCGAGCCAGAGCCGGACCGATCCGTCCCTCCACTCGTGCTTCTGCCGAGTTAAACGCATCGCGTCTGCCGCTTCTTTTTAAAGCCCCCGCCTTGCAGTCGTCCTCCCTCGCTGGCGCGCACCGCCGATCGCGGTCGCGCTCGCGCAAAGGAGTATCTTCCCGCGCTCTGCCCGTCGCAGCGGCAGCAGCGGCGACCGCGGCCGCGGAGACGAAGGAGCAGCTCGAAGCCAAAGCGGAGCGCTTCTGGAAATGGCTGGTGGATCAAGGGGTTGGCGACAAGGATTTACCGGCTGCCGTCAAGCCGGCAGTTTTGACGGCGGCTGACGGCCAGCCGCGACTAGCGCTCTTGGCCGACCGGGACATCCGGTCGGGTGACGATTTGTTGCTGGTGCCGCTAAGCGCGTGCTTGACCCTGGACAAGGTTCTTAGGACCGACATTGGCGCCGTGTGCGGCGACGTCAGGTACGACGGCGCGAACCGTCAATAGCAGCCGTATTTACCATCGCGTCGAACTTCAAACCATGTCAAAGCTTCTCCTTGTCGTGTCTGCTCGATCCAGTTCAATCCACTAAGCGCCTTCGTGCAACCCATGAGACGTGCTCTGCAGCTCTGCCCATGGCGCTCACATGCTCAAAGCCCCCCATTTTCCGCCCTTGATTTTTTCATGCCCCTTTCCCCCACTTTGCTATCTCCTGCACTTCATTCCCTTCCATTCCCTGTTGCTCCTTCCCTCCTCTCCACCTTCTCTCCGTCTCCCACCGCATCTTCCCCCTTCCCCCCTTGCTCCTTCTCCGCGCGAGCAGGCCGTGGGTGGCGCTGGCGCTGTTCATCATCCGCGAGCGCGGGAACCCCACGTCCGAGTGGGCGCCGTACCTCGACACGCTCCCCGCCACGCTCAACTCGCCGCTCCTCTGGTACTGCACTGCTGCCACCCCGCCGCCCTGCCTTGCCCTGCCCTGCCCTGCCCTGCCCTGTCCTCCTGCATTCCCTCATGTCTCACCTCTAATCTAACTCGACTTGAAAGCCACCATGCTTGCATTCATCTGCTCTTTCTTCATTCTCTCTCTGTTCCTCCCTTTCTGCTCATCGTGCTGTGCTGCTTCTCGTTCTCTCCCCATTCTCGCCTGCAGGTCCGAAGAGGAGCTCAAGATGCTGGAAGGTACTTCCCTCTCTTTTTCCCCCCTCCAGCCAACCACTACATCCTAGCTAACCACATGTCCGTCCTTAGCTTTCTCTCCCTCTCTCCCTTGTCGGTTGTCATGACCATGCATGCCCTTGTCACCTCCTCCTCCTGCACCTCTTTCTCTCCTCTGAATTCCTTTTGCCTCTCCCGCCTTCCTCCTGCGAGCTCCTCACCCCATTTAACCCTGCCCCATGCAACCCCACCCCACCCCATTCACCCGCACCGCACTTACTTAGCAGATCACCCACCCAGCATTGGGGTGACGTCATCCACAGCTCATTGCCCCCATCCAACCCAACCCTGCGCTTCTCCCCTCGCCCAACTCCCCCTTGCTCCACCCGCTGCTCTCCCGTGCGCTCCCCTCCCCCCCCCACACTCCCCTCAGCACTTTCCCCCGCGCTCTCCCCCCCGCCAGGCACGCAGGTGTTGGCGCTGCAGCAGCAGTACGCGGAGTACATAGCCGCGGAGCACCAGGCCGCGCTGGACGCCATCGTGCTGCCCAACCCCGCGCTCTTCCTCCTAATGAGTTCCCCCATCCCCCGCACTCCCCCACGCTCCCCACCACGCATTCCCCCTTGCACTACCCCCCCCCCCCCCCGCACTCCTGTCCACGCTTCCCCCTGTCCCCGCCTCTGCACCCGCCCTCGCGCCCGCCCCCGCCCCCTCCCCCAAACACTCCCTTCTCCCCCACCTCCGCCAGGCACGCAGGTGTTGGCGCTGCAGCAGCAGTACGCGGAGTACATAGCCGCGGAGCACCAGGCCGCGCTGGACGCCGTCGTGCTGCCCAACCCCGCGCTCTTCCCCGACCCCTCGCGCTTCTCCCTCGCCGCCTTCACCTGGGCCTTCGCCCTCCTGCGCGCGCGCTCCTTCCCGCCCTTCTCCCGCGACGATGTCGCCCTCGTGCCGCTGCTCGACCTGGTGAGTCACCTCCTGTGATTGCATTGCACTCTCTCTGGGAAAGGAGGGTGTTGGGTTGGGGGGGGGGAGGAGGAGGCGCTCCTTCCTAACCTTCTCCCGCGACGACGTCGCACTCGTTCCACTTCTCGACCTGGTGAGCGGGATATGTGATTGCCCCCCTTCGTGGCGCACGGGGAAGGGGAAGGAAGTGGGGGGGGGAAGGTGCGGGGAAGGGGGGGGTGTGGGTGGTTGAAAGGGGAGGGGAGCAGAGGAGCGAAAGTGAGGGTACTAGACAGGAAAAGGCGAGGGTTTTCTCGGAGGTGTTTCACAGATTCACCGTGCCGTGCATTCCGAGAATATTTTTGAACAGTCTCGTCTTCTCTCTCCCACAGGTGTCGCACAGCACGGAGTCCCCCGAGGGCAAGTGGAAGGCGAGGGCGGTGGGCCAGGGTGTTTTTCTTGAGCCACCTCTGCACGTGTGTGTGTTTGAGCTCCTCAAAACGCATGCCACTCCGCCCGTTCCCTCCCCGCAATAACCAACAGGTGTCGCACAGCACGGAGTCCCCCGAGGGCAAGTGGCAGGCGAGGGCGGTGGGCGGAGGGCTCTTCTCTGCTGGCAAGGACGTGGTCACCGGCCCTGCAGGGCGCTCGTTCCACAAGGGGCAGCTGGTGAGACCACATACACACACACACACACACACACACACACACACATACACACACACATACACACACACATACACACACATACACACACACACACACACACATACACACACACACACATACACACACACACACACACACACACACACACACACACGCACACGCACCCAACACCTTACAGCCCACACCCGCTCTCCGCTCCCTCCTTCCCCCTCATCAATACGGTGCTTTCTAAGGTGACGCAGGAGCGTATAAGCCCCTTGCCTCTGCTCTGTTCAATGCCCTGTCGCTCCCCCCTGTCTGTCCCTCCACCCCCGCATTGCCCCTCTCCCTCCCTCCAATTCGTCGCCCCTCAGCTTTCCATTCCATCTGAACCAGACTACATCTCTTCGGGTGACTTTTGAGTCGACTCAAAAGTCACCTCCATTCCATCTGAACCAGACTACATCTCTTCAGGCGCCACAAGTAATCTCCTTCCCTCCCTTCCTGCAACTCCTTCGCCTTTCTGATTTCCACTCCCCCCGTTTGCCCTTCTGGGGCTCAGATCACAGTGAACTTTGGCAAGAGCAAGTCCAACGCACAGCTAGCCATAGACCACGGCATCGTAGACCCCCCCACCATCACCCCCGCCTCCTCCTCCCCCGCCTCCTCCTCCTCGCAAGCCCCGCAGCAGGAGCAGCAGAAATCGGGCGCGCTGGGCGCAATCGTAAACACGGTCGCGAGCGGCGTGAACAACGTCACCAGCATGGTCTCCGTCGGGAAAGCCGTGGCCGCAGTGGAAGCAGCAAAGGTCGCCGCGAAGGCCGCAGCTGCCGCCGCCGCCACCGGCGCGGGCAACCGCGACGCGTTCTCGCTCACGCTAGAGATTGCAGAATCCGACCGGTTTTTTTATGACAAGGCGGATATAGCGGAGCAGAGTGGGCTAGAGGCGGTGGCTGATTTCGACATTGTGGCGGGGCAGGGTGTCCCTGATGAGATGGTGGCGTTTCTCAGGCTTGTTGCGCTTGGTGGGGCCGATGCTTTCCTGCTGGAGGTGAGCTCGAAGCGGAGGGGGGAATAGGTGCAGGTGCGAGTGAGGCGAGCGGTTTGGCGGGGTTGTTGGGGTTTGAGGGGAGACAGGGCGAGTCAGGTGCTACTGTGAAGGCGGATATAGTGGAGCAGAGTGGGCTGGAGGTGGTGGCTGATTTTGACATTGTGGCGGAGCAGGGCGTGCCTGATGAAATGGTCCCGTTCCTCAGGCTTGTAGCGCTGGGTTGGGCCGATGCCTTCCTGCTGGAGGTGAGTTCCAAGGGGCGGGGAGGCGGGGAAAGGGAGGAGGAGGGCAGGTGCTGGGGAGGCGGGTGGTTTGGCAGGGTTGTTGGGGTTTGAGCGGGCCAGGGCGTGCCGGACGAGATGGTGGCGTTCCTCCGGCTCGTAGCGCTTGGTGGGGCGGATGCTTTTCTTCTGGAGGTGAGACTGGGAGGGGGGGAGAGGGGGAAAGGAGGGAGGGGGGAGGGGAGGAGGAGGAGCAGAGGCAGATGGTACTGTGTGTTGACAACGTGGTGTTTGGCAGGTTTCCTGGATTGTACAAAAAGGTGGACAAAGCCGGTGTACAGGGAGAATGGAGAGTGTATACAAGTAGAAGGTATACATTCTCCCCCGGTGTATACAGGGGGCTGGCATCATGCTGGATGGATGGTACTAGACTAGAAAGACCTTTATCTCGGCATTATGCCTTCCTTAGCTTAACATTCCTTAGCTCGGCCATTCAGCTCTCTCTCTCTCTCGCTTCCACCTCTTCTGCGTGATCCCCCTTTCCCCTATTCTCCCACGGTACGGCGCTGTTCCGCAACAGTGTGCGGGAGCACCTGCTGAACCCTGTGAGCCGTGAGAACGAAGAAGGAAAAGCTCACGGGCTGGGGACAAAGTATTGACCTCGTATCCCCGCCCTCCCATTTCCTCCCGTGCCTTCCGCATCACGGCGTACAGGCGCTGTTCCGCAACAGTGTGCGGGAGCACCTGCTGAACCCTGTGAGCCGTGAGAACGAAGAAGGAAAAGCTCACTGGCTGGGGACAAAGTATTGACCTCGTATCCCCGCCCTCCCATTTCCTCCCGTGCCTTCCGCATCACGGCGTACAGGCGCTGTTCCGCAACAGTGTGTGGGATCACCTGCTGAACCCGGTGAGCCGGGAGAACGAGGAGGCGGTGTGCGTGGGCATCGTGGACTCGTGCGCTGCTGCGCTCGCTGCCTACCCCACCACATATGAAGAGGTGAGTGAGTGAGCGGCACATAGAGCAGGCGAGAGGCGCAGCGCATAACAAAACAAGTGTTTTGAGACGTCTCAAAGCACTTCTTTTACCACATACGACCAGGTGAGTGAGCGAGCGAGCGGCACATAGAGCAGGTGAGAGGCGCATACGGCCAGGGCGGAGAGCATCCATTCACTCATGTTTGCAGGTTGACTTGCTGTGCTGTGCCCCAACGGTTGCACGTACTGTGGTTACCCCTCTCTTCTGCCCAGTGCTCTTTCTTCAAAGGAGCAGACCAATGCTCCTGGCACTGGTGCGCTTGCTTTGAGACGTCACAACAATTTCATCTTTCCTCTTTTCTTTCCGCCAATTCCCCCCTTCTCGTCTGTCCCTTCCTTCCCTCCTCTCCATTCGATCCCTCTTTCCCTGCTTTGCCCCCCCTGTCCTTCCTCTCTCTCCCCTTCAGGACGTGGCCCTCCTCCCCACGCTAGCAGAGGGCAGCAAGGAGCAGGTGGCAGTGGTGGTGCGCATGGGGGAGAAAGCGGCTCTCGGCGAGCTGCAGTCATGGGCGGTGCGGCGCATGCGCGCCCTGGACTCCCTGCTCTACTACGCGGAGCGCCGCCTGTCGGACCTGGGCCTGCTGGACGACACCGGCAACATGACGCCCTGGGTGGGCGTCGAGTAAGCTTCTCGAGCCGCCTCTCGAACCTCGCCGCCTCTCGGACAGACCTGGGTGGGCTGGCTGGCCGGGACGGGACGGCACTGGCAATATGACTCCCTGGGTGGCCGTCGAGTGCGAGATAGTGGGAGGGTGATGTTGTGACATGAGAGACGAGCTTTGAGGCGCCCCGACATTCAGAACTCGTCTCGGCTCCTGCTGCATGGCACCGCCGTCCACATGACGCGCTGGGTGGGTGGGTGGGCGTCAGTGAGCGTGGCCTGGCTTCCACCTCGGGCGTATGGGCTAATGGCACATGGGCGGGAGTAGGGGAGGGTGGGAGGGGGGTCTGTGTCCCAGTGGTAACCAGGAGCTGGGAGGGAAGTGGGCAGGAAGCTGGAATGCAGTGGGAGGTCCTCGGCTTGGGTGGGAGGACCTAGAAGTTGACTTGGTTGGAGCTCGTTTGGGCTGGGTTGGGAGAGCGTGGGGTGGGTACTATGAGAAGCACAGGAAGGAGATTTGGGGGCGAGTCGTGGTTGCCATGAGCCACTGCAACTCCCCTGGAAACCCCTGCTGTGCCCGCACTGATACCTATGTGCTGTGCTGTTTTTTGTAGGATGGCATGAGGCAGTGATTGCCATGTCATATGATGCACCATGCTAGAGATGAATCACGTACTTAATACTATACCAACCTGCCGGTCTATGAGCTTGTGAATTTATATGTAGGGTAACAACACTTCATGCGGGTAAATCCAGTTGAATGCTGTTTTTTTATCTGTCTAAATATCTCCTTTCAGTAGGAATTGTACAGGCTCCGAACTGTAAATATTAGCGCGTCAGGTAGTAAGGGACAAAATCGCGCGGATGAGGTCCAGGCAGCAACATGTAAAAGTTATTGTCTTAGGGTATTGTATGCTTCCATCTTCATTACACTAACAATCATCTTTAATTCGATCTGGAAACTGCATCGCGTTTAATCCTACCTGATACTGAGTAGCTCCCACCAGTCTTACTTCAGAATACATGTCCTAATTCAGCAGCAGAACACACGCAATGGTATGAACAGAATGAATGGTTAATAATTTGATACATCAGTAGTTACTCCCTATCTAACCAGGCAGCATGCGCCTTTATTAGTGGCCCTTCCCTGGAGGGCCAATGGATTAGGGGATCAGCAAGAGCACCTAGGTATTGTCACTTCAGCTCCAACCATCAAGCCATCAGGCTTGGCTGGTCACATCATCTGACAGCCCTGCAACACCAGCCATGGTGAAAGCATGGCATCCGGTCCAAGTGGTCGTGGTCTTCACGCCGCCGCAGCACAGACACTGCCCTACGCAGATTCCCACCAATCCATCAGCCTTCCCTCCAAACAGGCTCCCCATGCATCCGCCAATCTCCGCCCCCGCAAACCACTCCAACTCTCCCCTCAATTCTTCTTCCATACCCCCTGCTCCAAGCACACCACTAGCTGCCGCCTCTGCTTGTGCCTCCACCGCCCCTGCCCCCGCTGCTACCTGCACCAGGTCCATTGAGCCAATCACGCCAATCGACCCAATCGCGTCAATGGGATCAATAACGTTGTTCACAACGTCTGCAGGGTCGATTGCGTCTGCGGCGTCAGCCAGAGCGCGCTCTCTGCACGCTACCACCTCCCACAGGCCCCTCGCCGCCTTGGACACCGGCGGAACCGCCTCCGCTATTCCCAGCTCGCGCGCGCGCTTCGTCCCCGCGCTCTGCGGCGACTCGCCCGCGGACTTCGCGACCGCCACTGCCGCCATTGCCGACATTGCCGCGAGTTCGCGCCCAACGGCGGCGCCGCCTTCAAAAAGCCCCGCATCTGGGCCTTGTCGTCCCTCCTCAACCACTTCCACTTCCATTTTCCCCGCGTCCTCCGCAACGCCTCTCGCTTCCTCCCAGCTACCTATTAGAGGTGTTTCCAGGGAATGCTTAAACACTGCGAAGGGTCCACGCGGGCAGACCATCTCGCCCGTCTTTACCGCCACTTCTCCGTCGCTTCCTGCAGGTCTCGCGCTACCCTGATGCTCCTCCTCCTGCTGCAAGCGCTTCTGCTGCTGCTGCTCCGCAGCCCGCCGCCGCATCATCACCCGCGCCACGGCCGCCTTCGCGCCGCGAGACATGGGTCGGTGCGGCACGGAAGGGCCTCCCGCTAGCCCCGGAAGCGCGCGGATCGTCTCGAGAACGGCCAGCGGGGTTACCTCCTGCACGTGCTCCGCGCCAATGCCCCAGCTCACTGCAGGCGGAAGCGCGCAGAGACCAAGATCTCCGCCGGCGGCGCCGCTGAATCCGCGAAAAGGCCCCTCCGCAGCCGCGGAGACATGAGCGGGGAAGAGGTGATCCACCGGGCCGCAGTCCACGCCGTAGAGGACGCTGCCGCCGCAGCCGCCGCCGTCGCCGCGGAAACAAAACGACTCTAGCGGTTGCGACCACGACTCGACTCGTGATTCAGGGTTCTCCCTCCTCTCTTGTGCGAAGAATGTGGCGTGCTGACTGTAGTCAACGACGGACTGCTGACTGTAGTCCACGCTGGCAGCGTTGGCCGCAGAAGGTGCAGTGCCAGCGTTGACAGCATTGGCAACGGTGGCACAGGTGACGTGCGCAGGTACAATCGAATCACAGGGATCGTCGCTCTCCGCCACCTCCTCGTGAAGGCATGGCGGGAGGAGACGAGGCTGCTGCTGCTGCTGCTGCTGCTGCTGTTTTGTGGGCTCTGCGTGCCAGACATGCGGACCGAGAGAAGGGGCGCATAGGGAAGACGACGCCATGGCGTTGGAAGAGGAGGAGACGCCGCGACGACCGCTGCGCTTCGAGGGCATGTGGTGTGTGATAAGTACACGAGGTGGATAATCCCCCGCGAGGCGATTCGTGTCCACCAGGTAAATGCTTTCCATGTGGATTTGTAGAGTTCGATTGGGCAAGCGAGGTTAGTGAGAGAAAGAGTATCGTAGAACTGATGAGCGTCGAGCTTGGTGCTGCTAAGGACGGATATTCGTAGCACTGGAGGGAAGCAGACTGAAAGACAGAAGGTTATTGTGCAAGCGAAGCTCAGTGGCTCGTATGTGTAACTCGGCAGTTAGGTAGAGCAAGAGGGGGCATCGCAGTGCTCTGTTGACGAGGAACCCGGCGGTACCTTGGACGCGTGGAGCGCTTGGATCCAGCCCAACACGACATAGCACAATCCCGTCTGTGGCAGCCAGGGGCGCAAATAATGCAAGAGTTGAAAGTGCGAGAAATGCGCGCGAGGGGTGGTTGGCGGACCCAGTTGCTACGATCCCGCAGAGTGAGATGCGTGGAATCAGTAGAAGCGGATGGAGAAGCACAAGACACATATAATAGAGGTCGCAGCACCTGACAAGCTTGCATGGGCCATGGTTTGCTGGTGTATGGTGCGGAGATGTTTGTGGAGGATGTGGTGCAGTATAGCTGGACCTTCAGGGTTGTTCTCGTGGTGGTTGGAGGTGAATGGAGGGTGTCGTTCTAGTGGTGGTTGCATTGTGTCCGACTCGACGAGTTGCGAGCGAATTCTGGGCCTTGACGCGACTTCGAGGGAAAAGGAACAGAGGGTGGAGGCGGGAATGCCAATAATTTCCTAACTTCCTGGGCTGTATTTGGCGCGGTGGCTGTCACAACGAAGTTGGTGCAGACTTCTGTCAGTTGGCGAGTGGTGGGGTGACGTGTCGCGGTTGCTGAATGACCCCGATTCGTTGGCTTGTCTGCCCAGTTCTGTGAGGGGCTGTCTGTGTGGTTGAAATGAAACTCAGCTCTGTGGCCAGGAGTCTGCCATGCCATGAGCAGAGCGACTCGGATCGGGAAGGCAACAACGACATGCCGCGCATTGTAGCTGTGACGATGTCACGGGCGTCCAACGTCGTGAAATTTCTCTACAAAGTCATGACTTCATGAGCGTTTAAGAACGGCTCATTTATGTAATGCTATGTTTCAGTAAGTTACAGTACGCTGCAGAGTGATGACGGTCTGGACTTTTTCAACTACTCCAGTATGTTTGAAGGATTAGCAGCATTGTTGTGCTCGTTGAAAGTTTTGATCGCCGTGCATTGCGGTGAAGACAGATCCATTCGCGAGAAAAGCGAGGATTTTGAGACCTGCTTTGTCAAGCCAATGTTAAAGCCCCTATTCTTCTCGTTTGTTTGGTTAGACCTTGAATGTCTGAAGACAGGCCAGGTCAGAAGTCCTAGAGGATTCAAGATTAGATTAGGGGCTATAAGTCCAAGATCCAAGAAAGTCGTAAGTACAGGGTAACATAAGCGTTTCTTCGTCGCAATTCATTCCAAGAGGGCGCCTCGTGAACTGGAAGTGGACTTGATTCAAAACGCGCATTATTGGTGGTTGGTGGAACTATTGTGAAAAACTGTTCAAGAGTAAAGTATTTTCCCGGGTGATGCACACGGACTTCTGGTGGGGATAAATTTTTTGTTTCACACATTTCGATACTTTGTTCTAGATTCTTGCTCAGTTTCCTGCGACGACACCCAAGAGTTTGCGAGTGGTAGTACAGCAATGTAGTCAAACGGAAATGGAAAAATGCTTCTATGTGGGGTATTCGACTCGATACGACCCAACAGGGGCAGCATGGGGTAACAGAGAAAGTCAACCGAGTCGTAGGCAACACAATTATCGTATCGCCTCGTGGTTTCCAGATTCTGCTTTGAGGGTTTTGTTGCCAGGATAATGCCCTTGGCTGTTCGCTCGCACCATCACCATCCTTGATATAATCACCAAGAAAATCAATTACAGACACACATAAAAAAACATCAAACTACCATAGCTTACACACTCTCGTTTGAGCAAGCGAGAGAACTGACTACTATTGAGGCAACGAATATGTGAGATGAAAAATAAGCTACCAAAAATAAGGTAGTGGTACTGCTAGATTCTGGGGTGGCTGCAGTGAAGTTTGGAAATAATATAGACATAGAATAGGTCGCAATGGTAACGGATGGGCAACCCTGCGATGTGGTAATCTTATTATGTCGCTTCTGAAATGAGAAAGTATGTGGCGTAATTGAATAACTTCGATATGTAAATACCGTACTACTTAACCCTTCAAGAAAGTACACATGTTCTTGTCCGCCTTATCTGCGACCGACGTTGGCACAAGGACCAAGACCATCTCCCGCTCTCTTTCCCGCTACACCTCTAACTACTTTAAGCGTGACAATTATGCAGAAAAGCTCCGTGTTGTTACGATCAGTAGCCATGAGGCGCGCATAGTAAGGCCCCTGAAGTCAGCACGCATGGGATCGACCAGGCATGAGGGTGGAGCAACGGCGGAGATTGAGAACAGCCAAGGGTTGGATGGCGAACACGCGGTAGGGATAGAAAACAAGCCAGGGAGACAGCCGAGTACAGGGAATTGTAATGGGTGTGCTTACAGGGAATGCAAGGCTGGGGACGTTCCGCCAGTATTGGAAGGTGAAGCTCCCAGGGAGCACTGGACACGCTGTCTGCTGGCAAATGTCCGTGTACTCAACATGTACGGGCAGCCCGTGAAACTTTATTGTCACTGCCACCTCCCCCCCTGATATCATCTGCCCTGGTCATGCGGAGAGGGTTGAGATAGATGGATGGAAGGAGGAAGAGAGGGCGGGAAGGAGTGAGTGAGGGAAGGAGGGAAGGAGGGAGGGAGAGAGGGAGAGAGGGAGGGAGAGAGGGAGAGGGAGGGAGGGAGGGAGGGAGGGAGGGAGGGAGGGAGGGAGGGAGGGAGGGAGGGAGGGAGAGGGAGAGGGAGGGAGGGAGGGAGGGAGGGAGGGAGGGAGGGAGGGAGGGAGGGAGGGAGGGAGGGAGGGAGGGAGAGGGAGAGGGAGGGAGGGAGGGAGGGAGGGAGGGAGGGAGGGAGGGAGGGAGGGAGGGAGGGAGGGAGGGAGGGAGGGAGAGGGAGAGGGAGGGAGGGATGGAGAGAGGGAGGGAGCACCAAGCAGCATCAGCTGCAGCACCTGTAGCGCCAACACACTCGTTGAATGGTGGATGTGGTATGCAATTGTGAACCCAGAGCCCACCGACGAAACCGCAAGTAAAAGAGAAGCACATGCACACAGGAAAGACCGAGCGGAGCTAACTAACTGGTGGTGCACTGCACTGCTAGTGCAAAGAATTCAAGGGACGCGGCTCACTGGCGACTGCGGGCAGCTGCAGCTCAAACGGATGGCCGATGACCGGAGGGTCCGGCGCCATGAACACGTCCCGCACCTCCACTGCTGGCTCGTGCGCTGCCATGGGTGCACGGCAGCACCAAGTGTAATGGGAGATGGAGAGAAGGAAGGAGATTGAAACACACCAGATTTGTTGCATTGTTAACTGACAAAGCATTGGCAGGATGATCAAAGTGTATACAAATACAACGGTAGGTGGGGGTCTTGAGTGGCTGGATCAGTAAGCCTGCACAGATTAGTAGTTACAATTTATATGATAATCAGGTAACTGAACTTATGAAGTGAAAGTGGGGAGCCGGGCGTGAAATCATGTCCGAGGAGGGATGGGAAAGTAGGTGTGCTAGAAGGGAACCAGAGACCATCCATTCGAGGAAAGAGAAATGCAATGGGTGGCTACGGAAGGCATGGGTGGCCATGGGAGGCCATGGGAGGCCATGGGAGGCCATGGGAGGCCATGGGAGGCCATGGGAGGCCATGGGAGGCCATGGGAGGCCATGGGTGGTGCGACGTACAGCAATCCTCCCACTCCGTCCGACGTGGACTCCCGATTGACTCCGGGCCCCGCACCATCTCCCCGCTACTTGCAGTGCCGCGGCCCGCTGCGTCCCTTACAGTCCGCACTAAAGGCCTTTCTAAACCGAAGCCTGGATTCTCGTCGCCTGTCGGCGCCGACCTAGTCGTTGTTACCCCGAGTCGGGTGTCCTTCACGGTAGTCGCAGCAGCACTCGCGGCGCGCGGACCGCGCGCCGACATAAGCGGCAGCAGCAGCATCGGTGCGAGGAGGAGAATAACCAGCGACGACGGGGCGGCACTCCCTGCGGTCAATCGTACGGCGCGGGATGGCTGAGAAAGTGATCGGCGCTTTACTAGGGAGTAATCCTGATCGCCTGGATGTCTTGCGGGAGAAGAAGCTGGGTTCGAAAGGGACCACGACATGACCGGCGGTTGAAGGAGGGTTGAGGAAGAAACGATTAAGCGCATGGAGGAGAACGGGGGCGGTGTGGGGAATGGAGAATCCCTATGCGCTCTCCAAAACGCTGAAGCGGAAACCTTCAGTAGTTTATGTAACAGGGGCGAGAACACTCGCAGGAGCGATGAGTGACGATGGATGAACCGCCGGACGGTTGATTTGGTCGCACCGGTTCAAGTAGCGGCAACAGGCACGTAGACAAAGTACTTAAGTTTTTCCACGGGAACTACGCCTGAACCAGCCAGGAGGTTTGTCCCGAGAGAGTCGCAGTGCAGGGAGGAAGGGATATCATAGGCCGAAGTCGATTATCCAGCAAGGGACCACGATAATCCTATCCTAAGGGCGAATTGAGCTTCCAAGCGAATTGGCGGGGGATTCAGGGAGAGAGGGAGGGGAGGAGAGTAATGCATGCCCACCCACACGCTCGCAGGCGGCACGGCAGAGCCAGAAAAGCAGAGAGATGCCCTCACACACAATTGCGTGACGTCAGGCTGACGCATTTCGCGCAGGGGGAGTTGATCCGCGAGCGAGGCATATGTGCGTGGCGTGCTCTGATTTGTCAATAAAGAAGTGTAATGCATGACGCGACAATCCATCACAGGCACTGTATTAGGTGCTCTTGTTGAGAGTTCCGGTGAATATGTAGGCTCACTTCTGCAATATATGCTTGGTAAACATGTACTTTATCACACAGTTAGCATGAAAAGAACACAATTGACATGGCTAGCATATAAAGATTTATTGGTTCCTACTACAAAAGATGCTGTACAGTCTTCAAAGAAGGAAGAAAGTAAAGAGACCGCGACATACTCCTATGTCGCATTGGAGTAGCACTCCATCCCGTACAAACGGTGCATAATCCGCTAGTGCTTGTCTTGATTGAGACAAGGGTTGCAAGGAGCGAGGCCAAGTTGTGGACGTTGGGGAAGAGGTCCCACAGTGCAAAAAAGGTAAGGCAAGAGCATCATCTAGCTAGTGTGCGAGTTGCAACAAGCCAGCCCATGTACAGTAGTAGCGTGACGAGGCTGCCGTACGGCTGTCACGTTGCAGCATGGTCGAATCTCTTCAAGACGGCTTCGCTCATCTCGTGCGCCTTCTTGGAGATGCACGCGCCGCCATCCTTGAGCGCCTTCGACGGGCCCTCCATGACATTCTGCCCAGAGAGTCAGGATCGTGGGAAACAGGTGGTTAGCGAGAGAACGGTTATTAGTCGCGTAAGGAGAGGGAGGGAGAAAAGGGACAACGGCACAGCAAACAGGAAGCGGAGGGGGACAGCAGTTGAAAAGAGTGCGGGGAGTTTGATAATTTCACTAACCGAAATCGAGGAGACTGCAGCTTCCCAGGCGTCTTCAATCATAGGGTCTACGTCGACGTGAAATCCTGCTCTGTGGTGCGTCTGTCGCATCGGGCAATTCTCCGAGTGGGCCGACCCAACGCAGTCTGAAGTGGTATGGCAGGTCGTTCCAGGACCTCTCAAAAATGGCGACTTCGCGGCGGCTGCTACAACGTGCGGAACGGTCTTTGGAGTAAGCGGATGGAGCGGAGTGAGCGTCATGGAGCAAGTTGGAAACGAAGCCCTATATCGTATTGGAACAGGGTTATATCCGACTTCACTAAACAAAGAGCAGCCACAGTTTGCAGTGTGGAGGTTCTGCTTGTAGCAGTCGTGCTATCAGCAATTAGAGATGAAGGCATGCGAGAAGCGAGAAAGGGATTGTAGAAAGAGAGCATGCAGGAGCTTCAAGTTTCTCCTCCCCGCCCCACCATCTCCTCCCCGTCCCCACCTCTCGCAGCGGGTCGCAGGAGGAAACAAACCACCTGAGACGACACGCGACGAGACGATGCGATGAGTCTTGGCGGCGGCATGGCTAACCAAACCATCAGGTATGGTTTGCGCCTTGTACTGTACAGTAATGGGAGCTCCCAAACCACATTTGGTTGGGCAAGCGTGACGAGTCACGCGTCACTAGACTTGGATCAAGCGAGATTCGTGGAGCAGAGCGATGGATGGGGACGGCTGTTGTGTTGTGTATGGTCAGGAGCAGAGACGGAGCGCGCTGACTCTAAAAGTTCACAATAATGACGTGGCGTTATAGCCAAAAGGTCAGATTGGGACTGCCCAGGCAGGCTTTCTAGATGGTCGGGCAGGTTCAATAGGTAAGACAGCGAATCCTAAGCCAGAACTTCGGTGTTCAACATGTGCTGGAACGGGATTTGCGGAAGCTTTTCACTGCTGGCATAACACGCCTGTGATGTATCGCCACGCTGTGCGATGAAACCGTCCACATCTCCCACGCGCTAACCACGCATTCAAGCCGAAAGTGCTCTGCCCTTGTTCAAATATCCAGATGAACTTGAAAAGAGTATGCTTTTTAAGTAGATTGAAAAATGGAAACACATATAGCAATTGCATGTGAAAAATAACAATGACTGCACTATTTAATTAATTACCAGAACTACCTGGTTGGATCCTGCCCTATATGTATTGTTCACATTCAATCATTCCTAGCATCGTGCGATTCCATGTAACAAGATAATAAGAAGCTACCACCTCACGCCGGGAGACTTTTGGGGGAGCCATCCTTTCTCTCTGCTCTTGACGAAGCTCCAGTGCTCGTAACCTGTTCAATGAATGTGGCAGAGGAGAGGAATCAACTTAACTACACATTGCAGTGGAGTAAAAAAAAAAAACAAGCACGCCACTCCATTTCCATCAACAACCTGCGCCCTGTCAGGACACTCTGAACTTCCCTCACTTCCTCTCATCCCTCTGTCTCGCTCATCTTCCCCTCAACCCCTGCCTTCCCCAGATCGTACCGAGCGAGATATTATGTTTGAGCGACCAGAAGAACCATCCGGCCTGTGCGGTGGCAAAGGCCTGCAGCTGCACCTTGCCGAACGCCGCCTGGTAGCTGTCGTCAGGATGCGCCATGGCATTGGAGAACTCTCCCACCAGCACTGGCCGCCCAAACTGCACCGGGGGTAGGCACCAGCAGCACACGTGGGGTCATGACGGAAGGGGAAGGGTTCAGGTCAGGTGAGGCTTGTACAGAAGGAAACCACAAGTCGCAAAATAGGTTGGCACAAAACATATAAAGAGAAGAGAGGAAGAAAACAACTTCTTGTGCGCTCACCTGCTGGTAGTCCCTGAGCTTGGCGGGCATGGTGGTGCGCGTGTACTCCACCTCCTGCGCGGCCGTCATCTTCTTGTTGTTCACCAGAGGGGGGAGGGGTGGAGAGGAGAGGAGACGATGAGCGAGTGAGGTCGTGAGCGGATGGATGCGTTCATGGGTGTTGGAGTGAGGGGGGGCGAAGGGATCGAGAGAAAGGGCGGGTGGTTGCGAGATGGGAGAGGACCAGTGAGAGAGGGACACAGCGAGGGTGGGTGGGAAACGGCGGGAGTGAACAGAGAAAGCCGAAAGGGGTCGTTTTGGAGGAGATGCATTGCATGGCATGGTTGAAGGTGTGACAGACCATAGCAGGGATGTAGCACAGTTTGAGATAAACCAGGTCGAAAAAACATGATAATCAGTGCCAGAAGGATGACCACAAACTGCAAGGGCAGAATTCCGATTGCACGAGGTTCACGCACTGGCAGACGGGAATCCATCCTTGAAGAACATGGCCTAAGGAACGCATGCATGCAATATGGGCATAGTGAAGGGAAAAGGGCACACGCACACGGGCATCGAGCAAGGCATGGAAGATGCAGCAAATCAGTGCAGGTTGCCATTTGGAAACTCAGGAAAGCAAGACTAAGGAAGTGGAGCAGGGTGCTGGAGGTCTCAGAACGGGAAGGTACACATCAACTTATGAAAGAGATTTGACATTTACTCAAGTGTTGTGTTGCCAGGCCCACCCCACCACCGCATTCAAGTGGATGCCTTAGGTCTGGCCGCAACAGCAGCAGCAGAAAAAGGTGCTTCCACAGAAACCTGCAAGCAAAACATCTGGAAAAAAACTTACGCAACCTGAAAGAAAATGTGTGAATCCTTATTTTATGGCACCTCCTGAGCACTTCCTGGGCATGGTAGCTGACTGCATGACAGCCGGATCAGCTAGGTTAGCTGAATAGCAAGTCAATAAATTAGCAAGGTCAGCCACATCAGCAAGTTTGTTAGATCACATAATCAGCTAGATCAGCTATTTTTCTCCATCATCCAGGTCGGCTGATTAGTCAAGTTAGCTAATTAGGCAGATCAGTCATTTATAGCTAATTAGCTGAATCAGTTCGGCATAATCGGCTAGATTGGCCGGATCAGCCAACCAGCTAGACCATCAAGATCAGCTGCAGTTAGAACAGTCAAATCAACTAATCAGCCACTTCGGTCAGATCAGGTAACCACAGCACACGCAGATCAGCTTATCGACTGGATCAGCAGGGGAAGCCGCATCAGGAATCAGATGGATCAGCGTATAAGCCAGATAACCAATTGAGCTAGACCAGCCAGGTCAGCTAATCAACAAGAATAACCAGATTGGGTAATTGGATAGGTCAAACTAGATCAGCTGATCAGCCTGACAAGCAACTCAGCTAGATCAGCCAGTAAACTAGATCGGCATAACAACCAATTTGACCGACAGGATCAGCCCATCAGCTGGATCGGAAAGATCAGCTTATAAGCGAGATCAGCCAGATTACTTAACAGGTAGATCAGTCAGATCAGGTAGTCAGAATCATCAATCTGATTGGTTAAACAACTTATCAGCTAGACCAGGCAGGACATTTCATTGGTTAAAAAGCTTACCTGGTGGGAGAGGAAAAACACACCAAGCTAGATAATGCAGAGAAAAACATCAGTTCACCTGGTTCAGCTGATCAACTAATTGGCTAGTCAGCCAGACTAGATGATCAACTAGACCAGCCGATCAGCCAATAAGCTAGACTAGCCAGATCAGTCATTGCCAAGTAAATCGAATGGCCCGATAAGCTAATCAGGTAAATAAGCCAGGCTAGCCGTATCGGTCAATTACCCAAAATGATCTGATCAACTCATTGGATAGGTAGATCAGCCATACCAGATAGTCAACCTGTTCAGCCTGATTGCTAGCCTGTTCAGTGTTGGAGAACATAAGCAAGTGCCACTAGGTTATGGTTGGGTTGGGCTTGAGGGACCAGGCCAGGCATAAGAGAGTAAGAATTTACAGAAATGGGAAAAGACATGAGAGTGTGTGACGTTGGATCAGCTAGACTTCAGGGGGATGTAACCGCAGTGAAATGCGGTTACAGCCCCCTGCGGTTACAACCCTAAGTGAGCACCTTTGGCTGATCCACGTCAGCATGTGCTAGACTGCTGTTTGGCCCCTATCAGCTTACCTACTGTCAGCAACACGCCATGAAGCGGAGGGGAAGTAGGTGGAGAAAAGGAGAAGAAACTTGGACAAGAGAATTTGGAAAGATGCTCCAAAACAGGCAGTATTATAAACGCATAACCACATTTCTAGTATGTGAGTTGACTTGCCGATGTGGACTACACAGCATTCCTTCAGCTCCAAACAAGTCCTAGTACACATTCCCTCCCTCACACCATATATGGAGATATATGGGTGAGCGAATATGTCTAGAAAGACCTGGATGGAGACAGAACCAGTATGGCGACGTGTGAAGGACATGCAAATGCATGCAGGCTATGGAGATACAGATTTGCAGTGTCTTGATTGTATGTGAGACAACCATGCTCACGGCAAATGCAACTTTTCTTAGCCTCAACCCAGCCCCCTGACTTGTGACGCAAGCTCAGCAAAATCTGTAACTGGAAAAATAATGCATGCAGAAGTAAAACAAGTTCCTTAAGTACAAGCAGTAAAATCACAACTTACTCCCAGCGTTCATCATCCAGGTACAAGCCATACATCAGTGCGACTTCAGGGGGCTGTAACCGCATTTCACTGTCAAAGAGATGTGGGCTGTGTGCAACCTCCAGATGGCACAGCATCTTCAGCTCGGTGATGTCCTCCGGTAGTGCCTGCAGCTGCCTGCACTTAGACAGATTTAGCCGTGCAAGCCTGGTCAGGCGTACGAAGTGGGGAGGAAGCGAGTGAATGGCCGAGCCTTCCAATTCCAGCTCATTGAGGCAAGAGAGTTGGGTGAGAAATGGAGGGAGGTGCTCCAAGGCAGCACATTTATGCAATTTGAGCTCCCGCAGCTTGGATAAAGCACCAATGGCATCAGGAATGGAAGCCAGCTTGGCTGCTTTAATCTTCAGGGATGTCAGCTGCTGAAGTTCGGTGATTGATGCTGGCAGCTCAGTCAGCGAGTTTGCATCAACTAAAACCAACTTCCGTAGCTGCTGCACAGCCGACCCTATGTCACCTGGAAGTTCCTTCAGACTTGTCGCATTCGAAATTTTAAGGGTGTGCAGCTCCGGAAAAAACTTCAAGGAAAATTTTAGCTCCTCAGCATCTGCTTCCAATACCATCTTCAAGTGCTTCAGATGCACCAAGTTTCTGCTGAACTCCTCCCCAAACTCCACATGACCCCGTGGCGATCTCGTCTCTCCATACTCCCACTGACACTGATTTTCAGCCCATCTCGAACATCGGCTGTAGTTCCCCAATCTCAAAGTCTCAAGGGAGGATGGCAGCACCTCGGGAGGTTCATGCGGCACTGTAAACCTTGGAAGCTCCAACACTTTCAGCTTCTTCATGTTGTCCAGCCTCTTGGGTACAGAAATCCCTTCGGAGCTGCAAATCGCCAACACTTGTAAATCAGTGAGGCATGTGAAAGAGTCCGGCAGCCTTCTAATAGTGGATGATGAAATGGTGAATTCTTGCAGCATGCTCAGCTTCCCTATGTCTTCCGGAAGCTCGCCTATCATGGAGCCATAGAGACACAGCCGTTTCAAAGAAGAGAGCTGAGTGAATGAAGCTGGAAACTGCTGCTGGGTCCTTCTGCCGGTTCCGTGCAGAAAAAGAGCCTCGAGATTAGTGAGCCGTCCGATGTCCAACGGGAGTGCTGCTAGTGGCAGCCCGACGAGGGCCAGCTTCCTGATAGCTGTGAAGCTGCAAAACTCGGCTGATAGCTGGCGGATAGCTTTGCACTGGACCAAACACAATGTTTCCAAGGATATCAGTTTCGAAAACGAATTAGGGAGGTCCAACATCGGCAATTCATGCAGCACCAATGTTCTCATGGCAGGCAGTTGCCCAAAGTCTTCAGAGAGGTTGGAAAAGGAGTTGCAACGAGAGATTGTCAGACTCTCCAAACAACTTAACGATGTAAAGTCATCAGGCAGCTCAACGAGATCCGTGCAGCGAATGCTCAGCTCCTGAAGAGACGGTAGAATCTCCCCAATGTTGTCAGGAAGACGCCTGAACCGCTTGCAGTTGGCAATCAGCAGCCGTCGGAGCCCGCTGCACGTCGATCCAGAGGGGAAAATCAACTCCAATGGCGGAGTCCACTCGTGTAGTTCCAGCGACTTCAGACCAGGCAGCCATGCCATGTTAAGAGTTGGATATGCCATGCCATCATCTGGAAAAGTTCGGTCTGGGGAGAAGGAAAGGCTGGTAAGGCTCACAACTCGAACAAGGTTCGATAGCTGCTGATTTCGCAGATTTGGAGAAGTAATGGACAGAGCGGCGAGTAAAGACAGGTTCGCGAAGGCGGGAACTTCCAAAGCTGAAGGATCTGGTAGGACTAGACTCCGGAGATTTGTTAGGTGGAAAAACGAGGCAGGAAGCTTGACGTGCCTATGAAGGCAATGGAGCGAAAGATGCTCGAGTTGAGTGGACTGCTGGAAGAAGCGATCCAAACCAGCTTCAGTGACTGGATGGAGCTCTTTCCTCTCATCGCACACAGGATGATGGTCAGTGATCGAAGTTCCAACGTGGAAAGTCTTCAACTTGGGGCAAGACGAAGCAAGGTGGGTGAGAAACACGTCATTTAGGCTCTCAACGCTGCCGTCGCACAGATGAAGATGTGTCAGGTTCGGAAAGCGGGAGATCGCGCTGGAGAGTTCGTGAAGTGCGACATTCTTATACTCTCTGACTAGAAGCGTTGAAACGTGATGCTGAACTAGGCGGCGCCATTTCTGGCAGACAGCTGCGATGCGGAGAGAGAACGCTGCATCCGTGAAGGCAGGAGGGATTGGCACCAGGACCTTTTTTTGCTCACGGTAAAAATAATCTCCAGAGCCCCAAACGGAAGAGGACACTAACGCTTTCCAGTTAACATGCAATATCTCGGTAGGAGGAAGCCATAGAATCCGGACGAGGAGGTCCTCCGGAAAGTTATTAATGTTCGAGCGACTCTCCATTTCGAGGCTCTAAACTCAAGAACAGCGTTGCTGCGGGAAGGAACGGCAATCGACGTGCTTGTAAACTAAAACGGAAACCCAGCGAAGCAAGCAAGGAATGAAGAACGTCACCTTTGAACTACAAAGCAAAGAGTTTACTAACCCGGCTGGGATCTGTGTTCTCAGGCGATGGTGCTTTCAGACGACGATGAGATCACGAG